ACAGTCAACACTTTAGTCAAAGCTAAAGTTAAGTAATAGTGCAGACTATTGTTCATACTATGGTCAAGACTATAGATAAGGCTATAGTTAAGACTATAGTCAAGGCTATAGTCAAGTTAAGACTACAGTCAAGACTATAGTTCAAACTTTAGTCAAGACTATAATTCAGACTTTGGTCAAAACAATAGTTCAGACTATAGTCAAGACTATAGTTTAGACTATAGTCAAGACTATAGTTTGGACTATAGTTTAGACTATAGTTTTAACTAGAGTTTTGACTATAGTTTTGACTATAGTTTAGACTATAGTAAAGACCATAGTATAGAATATAGTTAATACTATAGGTTAAACTATAGTTTAGACCATAGTTTAGACTGTTTAGAATATAGTTAAGTCAATAGTTTAGACTATACATAAGACTCTAATTCCGAATATAGTTCCGATTACAGTCAATACTCTAGTTTAGACTATAGGCAAGACTATAGTTTAGACTATAGTTCAAAATATTGCTTAGACTATAGTCAAGACTATAATTCAGACCATAGTTCAGATTGTACTCAAGAATATAGTCAAGATTGTAATAAAAACTATATTACTGAATAAAGTTCGGATTATAGTCAAGACAGTAGTCAATACTATAGTTCAGACTACAGTTAAGACTATAGTTTTGACTATAGTCAAGACCACAGTTTAAACTATAATCAATGTTATAGTTCTGATTATAGTTAAGATTATAATTAAGACTATAGTTCAGACTATAATCAAGACTACAGGTTAGACTATAGTCAAGACCATAGTTTAGACTATAGTCAAGACTATAGTTTAGACTATAGTGATGACTATAGTTAAGACTATAGTCAAGGCTATAGTTTAGATTATAGTCAAGACTATAGTTTAGACTATAGTCAAGACTATAGTTTAGACCATAGTCAAGACTATAGTTTCTATAGTCATGACTATAGTTTCTATAGTCATGACTATAGTTTAGACTATAGTCAAGACTATAATTAAGACTATAGTCACGACTTTATTTCAGACTATAGTCAAGACTATAGTTAACACTATAGTCAAGACTATAATTAAGACTATAGTCAAGACTATAGTTTAGACTATAGTCAAGACTATAGTTTAGACTATAGTCAAGACTATAGTTAAGACTATAGTTAAGACTATAGTCAAGACTATAGTTAAGACTGTAGTTAGGTCTATAGTTAAGACTATAGTTAAGACTATAGTCAAGACTATAGTTCAGACCATAGTCAAGACTAAAGTTTAGACTATAGTCAAGACTATAGTTTAGACTATAGTTTACACTATTGTCAAGACTATAGTTTACACTATAGTCAAGACTATAGTTAAGACTATAGTCAAGACTATAGTTAAGACTATAGTCAAGACTATAGTTAAGACTATAGTCAAGACTATAGTTTACACTATAGTCAAGACTATAGTTTAGACTATAGTCAAGACTATAGTTAAGACTATAGTCAAGACTATAGTTAAGACTATAGTTAGGACTATAGTTAAGACTATAGTTAAGACTATAGTCAAGACTATAGTTCAGACCATAGTCAAGACTAAAGTTTAGACTATAGTCAAGACTATAGTTTAGACTATAGTTTACACTATAGTCAAGACTATAGTTTACACTATAGTCAAGACTATAGTTTACACTATAGTCAAGACTATAGTTTAGACTATAGTATAGACTATAGTTTAGACTATAGTCAAGACTATAGTCAGTACTATAGTTTAGACTATAGTCAGGACTATAGTTTAGACTATAGTCAGGACTATAGTTTAGACTGTAGTCAGGACTATAGTTTAGACTATAGTTCAGACTATAATCAAGACTTTATTTCAGACTATTACCAAGTCTTTTGTTTAGACTATAGTTCAGACTATATTCAAGACTATTGTTCAGACTTTAGTCCTGCCTACATTTAAGAATATTAGCAATACGTTAGTTCAAACTATAGTTAAGCCCTAGTTTAAACTTTAGATTATGCTATAGTCTATTGGTTTTTTATTATTTATACAATTTATTCCCTGAAACCACATTTCTGCTTCTTTTCATGATTTACTTGGCATTCTCCAAATCATTTTTTTTATATCTGCAAATAATAGAATTTCTTTCTTTAATTAGAAATTTCCTGTTAAAACAATTGCCATTTTAATTAGACGACTAGTACTGTTTTTTTCCTATTTATGACATAAATTAACACTTTTAGGTCAAATAAACCAGACAAGATTTGTTGGAAACGATATAGAGAGATAAAAATTACAAAGAATTTATGGCATAATTGTATTCTTCAGAATTGCAAAGAAAAGAGGGAAAAGATGAAGTTGTTGCAATTAGTATAGACATATTTGTAATAGAAGAAAAATATTTGTGGAAATCAAGAAAATTTTTGGGACACATTTTCTGAGATTATGGGACAAAAGGGGTGAATATTTAGAATACCAAAAGTTTTCTGATTTTATTATATTATTTCCCCTTATTTTGTTCAAAATTTTAAAAAGTACCAAAAAAGTACTTTCTACTTTATTAGTATTTTATATTTATTTTATTGTTTTCAACAGTTTTATATGATTTTTTTTAACATTTTATTCAATTTTTAGAAAAGTACCAAAAAAAGTACTTTTTATAAAAAAACTTAATTTAAACGTTTTTGTAATTATTTTTGAGGATTCCTAGTATAATTATGTTATTTCCACACATTTTGAGTAAATTTGAAAAATGTACCAAAAAAGTACTTTTTCATTTAAGGGTATTTTTAAAGGAATTTAAGTGAATTTGATTTTTTTTATTTTAAAGGATATTTTTATCCTTTTTTGTTAAGCTATTGGGTACTTTTTGTTAAATTTCGCCCCATATTTTGTTAAAATTTTTAAAAAAGTGCCAAAAAAAGTACTTTTCAGTTTATTAGTATTTTATATTTATTTAATTGTTTTCAACAGTTTTATATGATTTTTTTAACATTTTAGTCAATTTTTAGAAAAGTACCAAAAAAAGTACTTTTTATAAAAAATTTTATTTTAAACGTTTTTGAAAGTTTTTTTAAGGTTTCCTAGTAAAATTATGTTATTTCCACACATTTTGAGTAAATTTGAAAAAAGTACCAAAAAAGTACTTTTTCATTTAAGGGTATTTTTAAAGGATTTTGTTAAAATTTGTAAAAAAGTACCAAACAAGTACTTTTCAGTTTATTAGTATTTTATATTTATTTAATTGTTTTTATATGATTTTTTTTTTACATTTTAGTCAATTTTTAGAAAGGTACAAAAAAAGTACTTTTTATAAAAAAACTTAATTTAAACGTTTTTGTAAGTATTTCTGAGGATTCCTAGTATAATTATGTTATTTCCACACATTTTGAGTAAATTTGAAAAAAGTACCAAAAAAGCACTTTTTGATTTAAAGGTATTTTAAAGGAATTTAGGTGAATTTGAAATTTTTTTATTTTAAAGCATAAAAAGGTCACAATTTTGTTAAGCTGTTGGGTACTTTTTGTTAAATTTCGCCCCATATTTTGTTTAAATTTTTAAAAAAGTACCAAAAAAGTACTTTTTAGTTTATTAGAATTTTATATTTATTTTATTGTTTTCAACAGTTTTATATGATTTTTTTTAACTTTTTAGTCAATTTTTAGAAAAGTACCAAAAAAAAAGTACTTTTTATAAAAAAACTTAATTAAAACGTTTTTGAAATTTTTTTTTAAGGTTTCCTAGTATAATTATGTTATTTCCACACATTTTGAGTAAATTTGAAAAAAGTACCAAAAAAAGTACTTTTTGATTTAAGGGTATTTTTAAAGGAATTTATGTGAATTTGAAATTTTTTTATTTTAAAGGATAAAAAGGGCACAATTTTGTTAAGCTGTTGGTTACTTTTTGTTAAATTTCGCCCCATATTTTGTTAAAATTTTTAAAAAAGTACTAAAAAAGTTACTTTTCAGTTTATTAGTATTTTATATTTATTTTATTGTTTTAAACAGTTTTGTATGATTTTTTTTTAACATTTTAGTAAATTTTTAGAAAAGTACTAAAAAAGTACTTTTTATAAAAAAAAAAACTTAATTTAAACGTTTTTGAAAGTGTTTTTAAGGTTTCCTAGTATAATTATGTTATTTCCACACATTTTGAGGAAATTTGAAAAATGTGCCAAAAAAGTACTTTTTCATTTAAAGGTATTTTTAAAGGATTTTGTTAAAATTTTTAAAAAAGTACCAAAAAAAAATTTTAACCAAATATGGGGCGAAATTTAACAAAAATTACCCAACAGCTTAACAAAATTGTGCCCTTTTTATGCTTTAAAATAAAAAAATTTCAAATTCACTTAAATTCCTTTAAAAATACCCTTAAATGAAAAAGTACTTTTTTGGTACTTTTTTTCAAATTTACACAAAATGTGTGGAAATAACATAATTATACTAGAAAACCTCAAAAATACTTACAAAAAAGTTTAAAATTAGTTTTTTTATAAAAAGTACTTTTTTTTGGTACTTTTCTAAAAATTTACTAAAATGTTAAAAAAATCATATAAAACTGTTGAAAACAATTAAATAAATATAAAATACTAATAAACTGAAAAGTACTTTTTTGGTACTTTTTTAAAAATTTTAACAAATTTAGTAAATTTTTAAAAAAGTACCAAAAAAAGTACTTTTTATAAAAAAACTTATTTTAAACGTTTTTGTAAGTATTTTTGAGGTTTCCTAGTATAATTATATTATTTCCACACATTTTGAGTAAATTTGAAAAAAGTACCAAAAAAGTACTTTTTGATTTAAAGGTATTTTTAAAGGATTTAACGCGAATTTTTCCTGAAATTTAAGTGAATTTTTTAGTTTAAAGGGTACTTTTTGTTAAATTTCGTTATTTTGGAGGAAATTTGTTTTAAATCTTCTATTTTATTAAAGGAATAACAGCTGTTTTCGTTCTTTTCTTTATATTTTAAAAACTCTTTAAAGTTTTTCTTTTGTTATTTTTAATTTTACCTTTTCTTGTTAAACTCCTTTTGGGAAAATTAACACATGATACCAGCAAATAATTGTAGGTTTTTCTCACTCACCTAAAAAGAGAAAAATAGAAAAAATTTAATGGTTAAA